TTAGAGCCTGAAATGAAACTAGCTATTAAAAACATTTTCATATCTGCATAGAACAATCAGATGCGTCCGAAATAAAATTGAGAAACTTAAGGAAATCGATTTTAAGTTAAGAGTGCAATAACAGACAGTAGTTACACAGAATAATGTCCGAACATATGTTTAAAGAAAACCCCCAAATTCCTCACAGGAATTCTCACAATTAGGTGAAACCATGAAATGAGAAGCGTGGAAGAAACTAACGAAGTCGTCCGTATGAATAACTATACTATGGATATAGCCCAAGTCTGTCGTCTAGGTAGTACTTGAATAATAGATTTGGATGAAGTTCACTACGAAATTCATGTACAGTATCCGTAATTCGAAATACATACAATGAACTGATCTGATTGGTTGTTCAGGGCCATAAGTCCTCCAATTTGGTAGCTTGGTTTTGGGCTGCCATAGTTTAGAGGGACCAGAAGTTGTATGAAGGCGATGGCACCACTTCCAGGATTCACGGTAAATAGATAACAGTCACGAATAAAACAATACGACGCTATCGCTCGCAGTTGGTACCGAAAGTTGGATTCATCTTTTTCCTGTTAATATTGTTCTAACTTAATATGTTTAAAGATGTCTTGAAAAGTAAGTCGTGCTAAACATATAGTCAGCAGTCCTATCAGAATATTCTATTTGACCATGGAACTGGATAATTAGCTTTTGCGATTTTGTTTTTTGTCACCTACCCCCTATTCCCAAGCTTTGTAACAGATGGGACATCAAAAGTAATGCTATTAGGATGGCATTTTCCTCACAAATTTATCTCAGCATCGCCATTAAATTATATCCTTTTCGTTTCAAGTAACTATTGTTCCAAAGTTTCGTATTTTTCAGGACATAATAACAACCTAATAAGGGAAAAATCCGTAGACAACAGCAGATTTCTGGCAGTTTATTCATTTTGAACTTCTAAATAGCATCCAACATCCGTACAAATCCACTGGCAAAACTTTCGAAGCAGGTTACGACATAGGGATCCAAGAAAACGAATGTCCTAGAGTTCCTGAAACTTCTAAAGCAAGGTAATAAAACTTGATTAAATACACTGTGTGCTTAGAAGAACAGTGGGATTGTAAGAATGTCAAGTGAGATACTTGGTCCGTTTTCAGGTAATGTTAGGGGAAGTTCAAGATCAGGAGGCCAAGAAATAGCTCACGGTTAGATTAAGTTTGAGGATAAGGAAGCGATTAGTTGTTTATGGCTAGATAAGAGTCAGGTTTGGTAAAGTTATGCGTTTATTTGATTTTACGTATACAAATTCGCTTCTTGGGATGTTCCAGTCTTTTCAAGGCAATTTCAACGTTGATTTCTTCGATCACTACTGATCGTCGGTGCCACTGTGGATTTGTAACTGCATTCATCACACTGAAACGAAGAAGACAAAATTAGGCTGGACTTATTTATCACGTACTGTTGAAGTTCCGATTGGAAATTTTTTTGCCAATGATTTTTAATAAAATTGTGTTATATGTTATCTAGATTGAGAGAAATTCCCACTTTTTGGCTGGTTATGTTGGTGTCCGCCTCATGTGATCTGACTGCGACACACTTTTAGCATATTGGTTGCAATGATTAGTGTTTCAGAAGGAATGTATCAAAATGTCGGTGTAATGAGGGAGATAGGATAGTTAAACGGTAATGCCATTTACACCACTCATTTACTCCATGTAGAAGCTGCATCTTTCGGCATACTATCATTCAATGAAGACTTCATGTCTCAGGATATCAGTACAGCCTATTTTCGTGTGAAGAACAGTCTTTTTTGACAAAATAATTCTCTCAATACTTGGAAATCACCTGCAAATGTTATCAGAATCGTTGGTGGGAACCTAAGTTGTCATTTAGATGTGCTTTTCACTTTATCTGTGGTTGGACAGGAATTATGGTAAGTTGAAAGGTTATCTCTAAGTGGATTTCATATATATTGGCACTGGTTGGTGCAGTGTGCTATGGGTTATGTTAATTAAATGTACGAAAATATCTCAACTGTAATAATATTGGGCCATTATCTACTTAGCCGACTGATAGGATAACAAACGAAGGTGGTTGTCACGATTATTGCAAGTACAATGCAGCGGAGAAGGCAATTACTCGTTTAAATTTCTTTGCTGTTCCAATTAATGCACTGAACCATTACACGGTATGATTATACTCATGAGTCGTGGTGATTACTGGAACTGAATCTATTCAGCTTTATTATCATTAATATGAATTTATTCTCTTTTACAATTTCCACTGACTGTATACTTAATGCTGAAATATTTTTGATCACCAATAACGGAGATGAATTTCTCCTGAGATTTCCATTTAGACAAAGCAGTACAGATGCGCTATAACGATTGAATTTTCCAGTTTACATTATATGACATTATTATGCTCATCAACACAACAGGTCTGTGTACTTTACAGTAGTTTAAGTGTTTCTGTATGTTGTTAACACTGTACATAGCTGTTTAGAGTTGAGGCATATTCAGCTTATATTTGATGCCTATAGTCTCCTAAATGTGAAAATGTGATTTCTGTAGGATTCACAAAACCTTGTGGACTAGACATTACTGAGATTGTGGATTAACTTCTAAGTTATACACTTGCAATACTTCATTTCATGTAAAAGTATTTAGTGTGAAATTGATCTGCAAGTAAGCTTGATGAGAGAATGACGCCTCAATAGTATGGATGTTTTGGAGATTGTCTTGAAATTTGCGTATAATCCTCTAATACTGAAAAACATATGATGTCTATTTATGTATACGACGTCAACATAAAAATCAGCTGTAGACTACAAATACATTTATCTGCATGAGATATTACTTAGTATTGACAGAATCATTGTATTCATGGTATATGCTAATATGTAGAATTATCTCTTGTAACTTCATGTTATGCTAAACCTTACATGTACTTTATTTTTTCAGGTATACGGAGGTTGTCGAATATGAAATCAGCGGAAACATCATTCGGTCAAACTAACTTTATTACCCTTCATCAGAATTTTCTTTTGTAAATTAATCAAATGTTTAATATACTCTTGATTACTTCTTCCTGTAGACTTCTTCAATTCCTCGCTATACTATGTGCTTTTGTAATAAGTGAATTAGGAATAATAAACGCTAAGCTTAGTTAGTGGGATGGAGATTTACTGTAGTATTATGAAAATGTTACTTTAGTCATTAGTAGGATTTCGTGTCTGTTTCTACACAATAGCACATTGTAAAAGCTAAGTGGGATTTAGCAAGTTGAATAATAATTCTGTACTGTTTGATACTCTAAAGTCGCCTTATCTAACCAGTTGAAAGTCTGTATACTGTTAAACGCCAAGTATGTAGTACAAGTAAATGTAGTAACTTAGGCTTGATATCTACTTCACTAATCTGTTAATATGCAGTGACATCATCAAATAGACTGTTCACTTGAGGATCAGCTAAGAAACAATTTTTATTTATTTTAATATGCCGTTGAATCATAGGATGTTATCTAGTATCCATCATTTCTGTGATCAAAAACTGCGGTATTTGCATGTCTACTTTATAGATGTTAAATAACCTACGCCTGTATGCATCTAATTACCTCCAGTATTCCCTATTCATTTGGTGTGTGTAAACTAAACAAGTCTTTCATAAATTCTCCCATAAATGCCAAACTTTCTAGTGTTACAAGTGTTAATAAGAGCTGCTTCCTTTGTTTCAAATCAAATGAGGTATATACGAACTAAGGGAAAGTTACTCTTACTTAATCTTTAACCCTCACTCAGAGCCTTTAACGATCCCAAACAGTTCTCCTATAAACACAGTAGACGTACTTTAGATGCAGCTGCAGTCTTGCTTCACAACATTTTCTCCAGTATAGACAATGGGGCTAAATTCGCTGCACCTTCCTAGATACACATTTGCTTTCGACTCAGTACCTAGAGATATTCTGTTAGATAAGCTTGCTGAAACTCAAACTGAGTATTGGATTGTTAGATGGCTTCATTCTTATTTATCAGGGAGAAAGCAGTACACTGTAGGTCAGGGGGAAGTCGTCCATTACCAATTGTATTTTTGTTTGATGAACTTATTGTACGAATGCATACGAAAGAACTTTTTCAAACACGCGGACGATCTAACTACTTCAATGTCTGTTAACTGCCAGCTACACTGTACTAAGATGAACAGCTCTCTATTAGGAGTGGGAAAATGCTCTTAAACTAAATCCTTCGAAATGTCAGACTGTTATTTTCAGTTTCCGATGTAAACGAAAGTTAGTTGAAGGTGTTAATTCCTATGACCGTTGCAAAATTGATAATAGTGATATGGAAATGAAGTCTGACTTTAAGTATCTCGGACTAATTCATCACAGCGTATTGGCCCTAAATGTATGCCACATGCAGGCATAATGTTTATGAGCTAGGTATGCAAATCAAGGTAAACGCTTGTACGGTACATTCATTATTTATAAAACTAACTCGTACGTAAGAACTATGGTTTGATGAGTTATACAACGTTTAATACATTTAGACACAATTAACCTACGATGCTTACTTCTATGACGCATTACCTAAAACTACATTAATATAGTTTCCGCTGAAGGTTATCTCCTATAGTTACCACCTTAGTGGGCAACTTAGCGTTATCTTTGAATAACGAAAATTCCGAGAACTTTCTTGGTAAAAAGATCGTCCCTTACTCGAAAAAATTAAATATACCCTAGTCTCCACAAAAACGTTCAGAGGTATTCATCCTATCACCGCAAACGACTCACTATTTGCAGCCATTTAAAAAGTAAAAATAAATTTACCGATGGCAGCGTGCTTATGATTTCTAGATATCATAATGTACCATGAGGAAAACGCTATATCCATGCGGTTATAAGTCAGATGCGCGAAATTAGTCAGAAACACAACAACCACGATTCTCAGTCACATAACATCTTACTTCGCTACCTAATCGTATTAACGGATGTTTCGCCGAAGAAAAGAAGACTACTGGTTCAAGGATAATTTATTTAGTTTTTTTTAAGATCGTGAACATCTGTGTCTATAGTCACGGAAGAATCACAACTTCGAGGAAACCACCAATCGTAGACTACAACCCGAAACGTTATTCTTCCTAATTAATGTCTTACCTTTAACTGGGATTGTTTGTACACTCACCAGATCACCGTATTTTATCCGCTTTGAAAACCGTTTTGCAACCCATCGAATGGATGTTAACACTGGCTCTATTACGGGTAGTCCTAGTTCATTTATTGCGATCTAGTACATCAAGCAATAATAAGCATAAGTAACACTTACCCTTAAGGATTCCAGGTTCTTTTAGTTCCCCCAAAATATACACAAGCACAACAGATTCATACTTTTCATGCGGCTCAACCTTATTTGGCTTAGATTCTCTCACAATATATTTTTTTAAATGATAGCAGACACACTGATGGTATATTCACATTCTCAAAAAGCTTCAAAGCTTTTTCAACTTCAACCCAGGTTCTAAATTCTCTAGGTTTAATTTGTTCTTCGAAAACCTTGCTAATATCAACTCTGATGGTGTTCTCTTTATCAGATTCACTCGCAGATATTTGCATGCTGCAAACATGAACGAGAAAGACACTTTTTTCCAGATTTCTACATGTTATGTAAGCAACAATAATAACGGCAACCAACTAATGGACTGGAAACAACTGCTTCTGCCAGCCAAACATCTTCATGTGCATGATTTCCAAAACTTCTACACAGTACCAATTCATTAACAGCTGAAAACCAACTAAAACACTGAAAGCCGCATAAATGCAAGGTATGAAACAATTACACCGAAATGAATGCACTGACCTGGTAGTGAAAACTTTCGAAACCACAGAAATAATTCATTTTAACAGCAACGGAAACAAAAAGTGAGGTGAAACGCAACATTTGTGAACAATACGCAACAAGATGAGTCGTGTATAACGGCAGGATAAGTGAAACAGCAAACGCGTACACGAACAGCTACGGAACTGCAATCCAACATGGCCGACTAACATGGACGAAATTGACCTTTAAGCGTCTCACGCCACCAATGACCTTGATAAGTTACGGATAATTTCAGCCCAACATTATGTTAACCCTAAATGTTCCCTGTCTCATTGGATACTGAATTACTCCGGCAGAATTTTCAACTCAAGGCCTCTTTCAAGGCCATGTTGTGCTCACGAAGATGAAACGATGAGCTTTGAATTAAAGCACCCATGTTTATCACTGGGAGCGTGCATTAAGGTCATGTATTTAGATTTTAAATCTTGCGAAATCGAATGATGCTACGAAGTATTCGAACGTAAACAATATAGTAATTTTAGTGAGTGCATAAATTTTTATTTAATATTAATAGTTACGTAGAGTTTGATATCTTTGTTGATTACCATTTTTGGCGTAAAGGTGATCACATATTGCGAGAAGAGCAATTTCAGTTCTCAATGGAAAGTAGTAAAATTGTACAGAGTATCGGTACCTCGAGCGTATTATCATGTTGTATTTAATCTCACTAATGATGGAGTAAATCTAACATTCTATGGTAAGGAAATTCTGAATATGTTGCGAAATGGTTTCTTCAATGGCACAGACTATAACTCAGTGCTGGTTTTCAGCATGACTGCCAGTAATTCAGCATACTTTTCTTTTTTCTTGTCATTTTCAAGAGTAGATCAGAACTTAATGAGTTTGCTTATCAGCCTTGTTCCAGCTCTTACAGGAAATATTAAGCGCTGACTAGCATTACTTCGGAATGAAGACTAAATTCAGCACACTGTGGCAAATTTTTCAGCTTAATTCCAGCCCTCTCAGCTCATATTCAGCACTGACTAGCATTACTATTGAGCGAAAAGACTGCTACTGATTATCGTCACCTGTATCCTATGCTGGCGCAATTCATTTGTTTTGCACAAATTAGTCTTTATAGTCGAGAGAATTTTATATTTTGAAATTATAGTACAGTGTCACTACAGATCCGTCATGTGAGGTCCCCTGGTAGCATCCTGTTAATAAGCAAAATATAAATATAGTTGGGGAAAAATTGTGTTCGTCACATTTTCTGCAATAACATTTAAAAAGGCGTACTTACATAACTGCCACTGTTAGCTCCCCTGGTTTCTTTTTCATTTCCCCAGAAATAAAAATCTATGTCGTGACTACTATATGTTGACTAGACTGTGACTTATAAAAGTAAGTAGGCGTTTCACAATATTACCTGAATTCCTTTCTTCACGTTACGCTTTTGGATGCGATCTTTAAAATTATGAAGGTATGATTTCGTAGCCCTATGGAAATAATTACTTTAAAAGTGAACATTACATTATTTTTTAAAAGGCATAAGGCACAATGCTGAACTTTGTTAAAGTCCCCTGAAATGTAAACTTCAAATCCACTTTAGGTTTTAGAACAGTGGGCATCATGACCTTATGTCATAACTTCGGATCTCTAAAGGTAGCCAACCATTTTAGCAGTCTACAAGAAATGAGAATTAAATATGTGAACTCACAAATATCCCCTTGTACTTTTCGTCTCTTAAAAATGCTTCCAGCTTCCCCAAATAGTCTTCATTGGCAATCGGAAACTCCAGTGTGTAGTCATCGTTTGATGGAAGGTTGGTTTGTAGTTGAGATTTGTTGTTAATTGTAACAATGTTCAGGATTTTCGTACACAAATTGATAAGTTCCATTGAAACATCTTTAAATAAATAATTTTTAAGTACTTACCGGTTAATTTCTTAAAATTCATTGAATAATCGACAGTTTCGTTAGACGGCAATCCAAAGCAAGTTTACTAAATGTAAAAATTACTCCTACTTGTTAGATAAAGTCGTCTTTTTGCCATCAGGATATAAATATTGGAAATTGTGAGCATTTGAGGTACTGAAAATGAATGGCATTGAAGTAGGTTAATACCTTGGAATTGGGGTTACAAAGTCGTCGAATATATTATAATCTGGATTTTGTGGTCTGATGCCACCAACTTCGCTGGCAGCTACATTAGTATCCATGGATTAGTAAAAAAAATCCTTCTCACTTTTCTTTGCATCCCTGAAAAATATGTTAGAAAACGGTACCTATCTTTTCGGTCTCCTACTAGGCATTGGCAATCTGTCATCGTTCGTGCCTACCTTTTTAGTGCTTTAACCACAGCTTCTCAAAAGCTCTAAAGACTTTTGACAATTGTCATACGTATCTAGAAAAGTGATAATGAAATATCTCAACTTACCGAATTCCTGTAGTTGACAGAATGCAAACACTGACTATCCGGCCCCAGTAAATACAGGCTCTAGATGGTTTGCTGTGCTGTTGTGTGTACATAACTTCACACAATCCAAGAGTTTGGGTAGCGACTATACTATGATCTTTTAGCGAATGGACAACGAGAAATCTGACTAGTGTAGAATTCTGTGTAAGGATGCGTAATAAATTGGATATACGGCAGTGTTACTTTAATATGTATCAATTTTCTTGGAAAAACTAACGGCATAGATATACCTATACCTCAAAAATTCGGAATAAACTGTCAAATGAACTGCAATTTGACCAACAACATTAGCCAGTTAGAGGTAGATTTTCAGACTAGAAAACAAATACATGTTACAAAAGCTTGGAGGAATTACATATCAACAGCTCAAGCAACAAATTAGGCAATCCCATAAGTTACTGGACAGTACCTTCATTTAAAAGTATGAAACAGGGGGTGACTACTTCGTCATTATGCGTTGGTACAGTCATGCACTTGCAAATAGTATTCAGATCGGAAATCCAGTGTGTTTCGTGACTGAATTTTTTACACTACTCTGTAAATTCTAAGTCGTAAATTAGTTTGCTAATTGCTTACTTAACCTAATGTCTGTCTACTCGTCTGCTGATAAGGTCAGAAGACGAGATGTGTGTTTGATTTCTAGGACGTTGGATCACATTAAAATCAGTTCGGTCTTGTTTTCGCTCTGACATGTGACAGTACTTCTTCATATATGAGATAATCGGTATTTTATGTATTTCAGAATCTTTTACGGGCCTAATCAACTTGGTATCTTCAGTTATGTTGAAACTAAATTCTCATTAAGGGGGGTGGAATAGCTTAACCATTTGTGTAGAAATGTACTATGCTCTACATACCATCTCTTGTCTATATCAAGTGTCTACTCTGATCTATTGTGATATTTTTTGTATACTGGAGACTTCACTGGTGTGTGGAAATGTGCCCTGGCTTAGGCACTTGACTTAAAACCAGTGGGTGCAGGCTTTGAATCCGTAGCCACATCTGTCTGGACAACTGAATAGCATCACCGCATTTTATTTTACCTATTGGGAACTGAACATCTACCTTTCAAAATGTAAATTAGATTTCTCTCTTCTGTTTTCTCTTGGTGTGGTTTAAAGTTAAATTGCATGCTGTGTACAGAAAATGACTTATGTCCAACCAGGTTAATTCATCCTTTGTGGTAACGTCTATTCAAAGAACCGAGGATAATTGTTATTAAGTGTTAAGGTATCGCGACGATTCTGTGGTAAAATCTTATTTCTGAAAGTTTTATTGAAATCTCCTTAGGAAAATTGCAGCCGTTTTCTTCATAAGTCATTTCAAAGAGGTAAATACACAAAGAGATACAGTATCCATAAATGGGACTAGTTTAAAGAAATAGCTAACAACTTATCATGGTTGTTTTGGTTCAAAATATTAGATTGTTAAATTATAATGAATTAAATTTCGTAAACTCATTTCTAGTAGTGACTATGGAAGACGATTTCCAGGCTTGTTTAAAACCACCAGGGAACAGCAGTTCGTCGACGTTTAAACCTTCCTAACGGGAGCTTAAAACATCCTAATCTTGAAAGATATAAGGAGGAATTAGGTAGTTGGTGAAGAGGTGCGAACTACTAAAGGATGTCACAAGTTTAAAAAGTTAGTTACTTGTGTAGGAACGCCCCAGACAGACTCAAAAAAGCAGATATGTACTTGCTTGAAGACATTCAATGCAATTACTGAAAACCTAACGAGTGCTGCTTTTCTAAAGTGGGAACGCTGTGAAATTAACACAAATTTAGTATCAATGAGAAAACCTCCATTCATTTATATGCATCCGAAATATCTAACGAATACAATTTGGCGGCGAATGAAAATTACTGAAGTGATTTGTGGATATTGCTTAGCCGGAAACACGGTGCCTAGCTGCCCACTGTTTGGAAAGAGTTAACTGAAAATTCTGTGGACGAAAACCGTTGTACAGATTTTCGCCTTACGAATCAGTTATCCGGATAAGCTGGATACATTGTAAAGATGCAGAAACTGATTTATATTGCCATTGTAGGTTGTTATGACAAGCTTAGATTTAATTACACTCATATATATATATATATATATATATATATATATATATATATCGATTCTCTGTTTTTCACTGATCATTCGGTCATGAAATTTGCACAACAGTTTCACTGTTACCGCAGTGTACTCTTAACGGTGTTTGCGGTATATGTTATTATATAACACTGAAGATTTTCCTACCGGTTGAAAAGTTTGTGTGCATATGCATTTTCAGGCTGCTGTAATTTACTTCTCACTTAAATAATAATTCATAGAAAAGAATATTTAGTCTGCAAAACATGATCAACCTACAGTATAAGGGAGCCTATTTTCTGGAACACTTGGTTTCTCATGAGTCATTACCAGTCAACATGCCTACTATTTCGTCAAAAGCTGACTCGACTTTATGGGTAGATGATTTCTGAAAGTACCTTATTTTTCAGCATTTTATTGACATAGGCTTTAACTTCAATAGACTTTATGTCTGTACATCACTTAAAAGGCAGTAAAAGTAGAAAAAGTTATCGTATGATCAACAGTTGAAAGTTGTATGAGTGCAAATGATGAGATTCAATTAATAAATGCATAACTTGGACATTTCTAGTATATGGTTCTGTAATAATTTGTTTATGAAATTTTTCACATTGGACGAAGTTTCAGATACAACCGTTTGTTCATAATCATACCAGTTGTAACTTTCCTATTGTCAAGCTGGGTTTTTATGGTTCTAATTCTTTCCCTTAGTTTGTCATAGTGACAGTAAAATTTTCCAGATATCTGGGACACATACTGACTCATTCCGTTGCCTGTTAATTCAATAAAGAAAGCTTCGGTTATCCTTCTCTCCATATGCGGTATAAAGTAAACCAATTTTTTTCTCCTATTGGCTCCGAAGATTCTTTAGACTTGATCTGTTTCTAAGTGAATTTGTAGGTTTGGATCTCGCCTCAATCCCTTCTGTATTAGGAATACTAAGCAGTATTTCAGAAACTTCTTTGTTTGATAATACATTTGATATGACTGTGAGCAATAAATTAAGTTTGGAAAACCATCCAGGTTCACTGGGTGATATATCTAGTAATTAAATTAAAATGGAAAGGGTGTCGTAGCTAATATGAAGATGCAGTATAAGTGAATCTCTACCACTACATTCGATTTCGAATCGTATCACTTAAGGCCTCTGGCCATGTGTTCAGGTTGCTGTGCAAAGCCCAGTGAGGTGATCTTCTCCATGCAGTAGGTTCTGTAACTATTACTAGCCACTCTTAGCTCTATTCTGAACTAATCTTACCTCACTTAATATGACATACTTAAGTAGACAGTCAGTAACTTGTGGATTATTGTTTATATAAGGTGTTATTACATACTTAGCTTTAAAAGTGAGAGTAGGTTGTCCTAATTAGTAGACTACACAACTTATTTGTAAAATTGCATTGAACCTAACAAACAGACTGACGACTAAATCTGAACACTGATATTAAACATGTATGCAGCAAACACCAATGTGTATCATGTTTGATGCAGCTAAGATGAAGGTTATTCGTCAGGGATTGAATGAACTGTTCGAAAGCCTATTCGAGTATTTTAAGCAATCAAAGTGAGTTTTTGAGCTTCCTTTGCTTGTTCACAGACTCATCAGTCTTATCTTTTCTTAAACTTAACCTTCATTTTACAAATATCTAGAAAGCAAACATTTGCTATGATTAGTTTTAGTTAACATCATACATCTGTGGTTTTACTAAATCCACTCCTTTGTTAATCATATTCCGTTATATCTAACCAGTTTCTTTCTATTTCTGCTTACAATTTTATTTACGTTTAGAGAATCAATTATCATTGCTTCAGTAATTCTCTCAGTCGAATGTCGCCAACTACAAAACTCAAAAGAACATACTCACTACTGGTCGATTCAGATATAACTATAAAATTTCTGTTACCCAATGGAATTATAGTATCGCTTACGGTAAGTTTGTCTACTTGATTAATATCTACTGGTAGAGTGTGTAAATATACGATTCTCGTAATTATTTTAATGAGACGTGTTTCTAAAAACTTAACCTCATTAGCTAAATGAAGTAAGTAATTATTCGTCTACTTACACATGGTACTCAAAGTAATTCCCCTCAGAACTCGACAGTAATGACTGAGTGCGTTGAGGAAAGTGATAATAATAATAATAATTTACTTTATTCCAAAAACAGTACTTATGATACAGAATGGAATTCTCAGCCTTTGTCACAATATTGTATCTGATTTACTTAAAATATAAATAAAATTAAAACAAAAGTAACCAGAGGAATTTGTCCACGTTTACGACATAAAGTCAAAAATAGTCTAAGGCCGAATTGAGAATATTAAATATAATAATAATAGTGAGTTTGTTTCAATCAGTATTGTCGATTCAGTTTGAAAATTTTAGCATGTTACTATAGAGTAGTGAATCTGATGTTCTGTTGATACACTATGGTGAGAGGAAATAAAAAATTAACAGCTATAACACAGCTTAAATGATGTTCACACTTATGAAAAAATAAACAAAATAAAAAACAAAAAATTGAGAGTATTATAAGTATAAGAAGTACAATAACAACAAAGGTTGATGTCATAAGGGTCGAGGAAATGGCTTATTTAGTAGTGCAAAGAAGGTTAGTTAGTTCATGCCTAACACTATTTTCATCACATAAAGTACGTGTCACATATGGTATAGTGGAATTTTTACGCTTAGACGTAAGTGCATAAAGTCTTCTAAGAAGACTTCTTGTTTTATCTGAGGCGACACAAGGTTGGAGCTGAGGGTAAAGTGGATGCTCACAGTCTGAAAAAATTCCTTTAGCAAATTTGTTGCATGACATCAAGTGCCTATCAATGACAATGTCAACGATATGGCCCAATGGGATACCATTCGCCGTGGTGACAGTCTTCAGAGTTCTACGAAGTATGACATAGTCTTTTTTAAGCAATCCAGGAAAGAATAAGGGTGAACAGTGAAGAATAATAATATGACAAAAGTGTCAGCGTCTTGCAGAAATAAAAGATTACAGTGACAATAATAAAAATCGTGATAGCAATAATGATGAAATATTACACATACATCCTATTTACAAATAAGTAGTGTAAAATAGTTTTTCTAAATTTCATCAACACGTTAAAATACATACATAAAATCATAGTCAGTGAAATGTCTTACTTTTTATGATAAAGTACAAGTAATAAAACTAAGACAAATAAGTATGTAACATATGATAATTAAAGATAAATGCACACCAAGAATAAAATTTCACTATTTGATGTAATGTAATTTTATTGACGTAGTCGTGATTCAATTTTCTTATATTTTTAAAGGCTTAGGTAATATAACACTTTACTATCTCGTGAATTTACTGATAAGGATTAAACACGTATGCAATATGAGCATACGGCCTACCTGTTTCTTTATCAAGCGTTGTATTTCTCAACAGGCTGATAGGGTTTGTCAGTGAAAGTATGTTGTACAAACATGTAACTGGAAATATCGTCTGGTGTGTGCTTACTTTTTTTCAAGACCCTCACTGATAGTTTTGGTTCTCTCAGAGTTTTTCATTTTTATATCGACAGATCTTGAAACGTTAGTCTAAAGGTCATTATCATTGGTGCTTCTTCATCAGGCTAATAATTACAGTGTGCTGTTTTTTGAGTATCGCTATCAAGAATCTAGATTCTTTCTATATTTTATGTAACTTTATCATACATTCATTGGGTGTTCATTGGGTCATACTTCATTATTTTGACTTTGTAAGGATTAATCTTATCATTGAAGTTTCCTTAATCAACTCCAAAAACAAGGTGGCAATATTTCCACTCTGTGAAGATATCCGTAAATTTAGCTGTTTAAATACAATACAATAGTTGAATCACCTTGTTGTTTACCTCATAAATATTGATTACTGCTTCAAAATAAGTTTGTAATTAAGAACAAATGAATCAGCAAAGAGATCTCCTTTCGTAACTTCACTTCAAAGCTGTACATTTATTTAAGGTGTTTATATTTGCACTGTAGATTGAAAACAGAGGTCAAAGGTTATTGCCGACTAGTAATAAAGCAGATCAAAGTGGATGAGTAATAACTATGTTTGAAAAATTAGGAATAGTCCTTATCAGTCAAAAGGTTGACAACTAATTAATTGAGTGATGAGTAATCGTTTGGAAATGGTTTTTAGGGGGACCACAGAGCAAAAAATTGAAAATAAGTTGCGAAAAACATAGAGCGGACTACATAGGACTTAACATACAGTTATTCTGGGAGTCAAATTTATTTATTTATTTGAACGCATAAAAACTTGGTACAATATGGCACCAAGACGGATGCGCCGCACAATAATAATAAAACAACATAGATCAAAAGATATATATATATATAAGTAGAGAATGGATAAAGAACTTCATCTGGAAGGAAAACAGTCATGCTTAACAAGTTCAAACAGTTTTCGTTAACTATCATCGGGAAGGGAAGAAAGAAGGAAATTGCAACACGTTCGCCATTGATTACGATTCTTGGCCATATCCGATAACTTTTCGAGCCATCGATTCCAGCTATCTCTCGGACCCTAACCAAGGAGTCGTGACACACCAACCGATGCTAATCTAGCACAAAATTCCTTCATCCCACGACGCCACGTCATGCACTGACCACCTCTCCACCTTTTCCATCCCGTCCCAGGGCTGGCTAGCGAACAGAGACCTGTACGGAAGCCTCTGGGATGATATTCTCAGCACATGTCCAAGCCACCGGAGCCAGTGTTTCCAGATAACGACAACACTCAATGAATGGTGATTTCCCCACTGTGTTCAAACACGCCGCCGAACCTCAGAATTACTCACGCGATGATGCCATCCATCGAACGCAAGCAATCCTGCGGAGACAGCGATGATCGAACACGCAGAGTAGCCGAACATCCTCAGCTTGGAGAGGCCAGGTTTCAAGGGCGTAGAGCAAGACATCCCTCACCGAAGCATTGTATACCCGACCTTTGACAGTCAGGCTAACATCGCGACGGCGCCATAGGTGGCTCAAGTTGATGTATGCCACCCTAGCCTTCATTATACGGTTGGAAATCTCATCTGTCACCCCTCCGCCAGCACTCACATAACTACCAAGATACACAAACTTATCAACAACTTCAAGCGGTTCACCCGCAAGAGTAAGTGCAGGTGCAGGCTCCTGCCAATCTTGTAACAGTACTTTGCACTTAGACGGCGCAAAGCACATACCATACTTACAGTCAGAGAAGAGAGAAAAACAATAGTTCTAAGGCCATGGTAGTAAAAGAGGCTGAATAAAGCGTTTCTGAACACAAAGTCCAGGTTTATTCGTCAAGGATTGGAAAGGCTTCAGCTGCATGAAGAAGAAAATTAGGCGAAATCCTTTCGAACGGCTTGTTCGTACTTTATATATGACTTTGAAAGGAATCTCTGCTAATACTGCATGACCAGAACTAATAATATGCTTCAGAATTGACCTGTTGACGGTTCTACGTTCTCCTTTCGTGGTGATATTGCGTTTAACACCAGATAGGAGAATGAATAAAGGTATTGCCGAATCTACTTTTTTGATAAGCTGTATCGTCTCTATCTAGTTATTATCGAGCACCGATTGTCTTGTTGCAACTGATTTTTCATGAAACACGGTTATTTATTTTGAGGAATTTACAAGAGCTACTGATATCTGATCATTATTTTCTTTTCAAGTACTTTCCGTGTATACTGGAATAGTCATTTTACTGAATTCAGAAGCTTAGAGCAGAATATTAGATTAAGGAAACAAACCTAATGGTTAGTTAGCTACTCGAGAGTTATATTCAAACTCTTGAGAGTTGGTAGATAGTTGATATCTTCAGTCTTTTCACGATAGTTTTAGTTCATTACCAAATGTATTGATCTTCATGCTCTTGTCGACCCACAATTTGATAAAACATTAGTAATAATAAGATAATCGATAAAATGAACAATTTTTCAATGTTTTTCTCATTCCAGCTAAATTCTGAATTGACACTCGAGGAGGTGAAAACACAATTGTGGATTTCAGCAGCTAAATTACCATTATTTGATATATTACAATCCAAGAGTGACTATATATTTGTTGGTATCAACCGTGAAACTGGTGATAAAGAAGAATTTTATGATCAAAGCCGTCGACTTCATGAACTGCCACTACTTTTGCCCTACTTACGTGTTATTGAAGCTGCTAGAGATAGTGCGCTTTTAGAAATCAATACTAGAAATGCTGCAATTGCAAGGTAAATTTTTGTATGATAAAAAAATGCAAAACATAACTCATTTTTTCATACTTGACTCATTTGTAACTGTTGCTTTTTATTGCCTAAATACCTAGAGTAAGAGGGATTGAATAAGAATCTAAGCCGACTGTTTTCATTTAGATATTTTATTTCGGTTTCTGCCATATTCTCAAGGCTTAAGAATTCCAACAGGTTTTTATTTGTTTTCTAGTTGAGATTCACTCAGTAGAGAATATCATGAATTATTTCTTAAGTGGTTTATTTTAAACAACTAATAGTGTAGCATATGATTCGTAACAGTGTTAATCAATACTAATGGAATTAATCATAACTAACTTCAGAGACTTAGGGATTGTCTTGTTACCAGGGTATAATCTCGCTGACTTAGAATATGCAGATGATATAGTCCTGCCTCCTAAGTGAAGACGCTGACAAAATGCAGATTCATCTAAACACCTTGAGCTGCAATCTACAAATGTTTGGAATGCGATTCGCTCCCGTCAAATGCAAGATGATGTTACAGGATTGGACTACACCGACTCCTAGATTAGAAATAGGAAGTGAAGTGGTAGAGCACGTTGACCGCTTCACTTACTTGGGAAGTACCATCAGCCCTAACGGGTTGATCTCTGACGAAATCTCAGCTGAGTACAGATACAGAGGGCTAGTTTCGCATATGCCAGTTTACGCCGTCTCTGGCGTAGACGTGATATTCGACTATCGACCAAAGAGCGTGTGTACTGCTCATCAGTCCGCTCCGTCCTCTTTTATGGGTGATAGACCTGGCCATTGAGAGTGAAAGACATGAAAAGTCAGGCTAGTTGTCTTTGATCATGGGGATCTGCGTTCTATCTCCCGTGTGAAGTGGTATAGTAGGGTAAGCAACACTGAGGTTAGGCTTCGGTCGAGTGCTAGGTAGGTGGGAGGGGAAATCAATCGACGAGGCTGTGAAGCTACATCGACTGAGATGGTTAGGACATGTGTTACGAATGAACGCCTAGTCGCCGCCTTCCTCTACGGGTAATGTTAGCTGACATAGGGTCAGGCTGGGAAAGAGCTAGCGGCAGTCAAACCAAAACATGACACCAGTCAATGAAATCCACAACAGTTAGTGTAAGCCATGTGGGGGTCCTCGAGACGATAAAAACCAAAGACTGGAGACAATTTGTGATATGGCTCAAAATCGTTCTCAGTGGCGTAGATGCATTCACTTCTTGTAACTTATAATACCCAATGAAACTATATTCTTCGTTATTACTATTCCTTTGTCTCATGTCTTTTTACTGTCTCTATTTTGCATTTCTCCTGCTTTCTTCTCTTGCTTTGTGTGGTACATGGAGTGTGGCGACTTGAACTGGCGCACATCAGTGCAAAGTTCTATGTTGAAAATAGATAGACAGACATTGTTAATTAATGGAACGAATGACTTAGTAAATAATATAGAACTTGTGAAGTTCAATAGATAGCATGCTGTGTATAGAACAATAAGATTCGCTTTTATCAAGCGCTTGGTATGATTGGCTGATTGACAAGTCAGTGAGATACTTTGCACAAAAGTGCATTTGTTCATGTTTCCAGACATTTGAGGAACATGTAGTGTAGTGAAAATGGATGATCTGAAACCTCAACCAACAAAAATTACTAGAAGAAGGATAATAAGTACTTAAAGACTGTAGAAGATAACAACGTGTGAATGCATCTGCGCTATTGTGAATGTTTTTGATTCATGTGATATGTGAATAAATTGCCATGAATTATCTCTCTCACGCCTACGTCATTGGTCATGTATACATCCTTTATGGATGATCTTTTCTCGTGTCTACCACATTGGACATATATATATATATATAATTGTTTCTGTTATAAGATAATATACTGTCTCATATCGTGTGTTTTCTCACTTATGTAGAGCCGACAGAGAAATCGGGTAGTTGTAGTATATGTTGTTGGCGTTATTGGTCATCGTTCCGTCTGCGCCTAATTTGCAGTCCCTATTTCGACGCCTTTAAAAAAAAATCTAAATCCATGACATCAACATTCGCCAACCACTGATTCTTAACATATATAGAATCCTGTCCAAGCTGTTCATTCTTCTTCATACTGTGGTGAGATCTGGCTGTTAGCCAAATTGGTGGACAGTAATTTACGTCAATGTTTATGTCCCCAATATCGGTCGTGATAAAGATGGGAACAAAGGCTTTGCGTAGGCGGGTACAGTTAACATATAGATGATCTGACATTCAAGAAACAGCCACAAAGAGATGCGAGGTTAACTTTCTGTGAGAAACAACCAATCAGAAGACTATGCTTTTCTGCTGAAAATAATCTATAATATGTACATGAAAATGTATAAATATGTGTTGATTTCCTTAATAAAGGATCTGTTGACTGGCCCTTGTCTTCTGTTGTTACAATATGGCTCAAACCAATAGTGTAATTCTCCACGCACTGATGCTATGATTTGATGACTTCCCGTGTCTAGCTAACTTTACGCCTAATCCAATTTATCGTGATCTTGTTTTTTTAACAAACACGAGAAAATGGGTAGTACTTATAGTCGAAAAACCGGCTGTGTTATCTTTTCACATCTTTTACTGCTAGCGGCTACATCTCACAGTCACAATGTAGGACAAAGTGGACAATTGCAAATGATACTCCTACTGTGATGGATAGCTGTATACGGTGCCTAAGCCAAAGATGATAAAAGTTTGTAAATGCCGCATAAATACTTTGTAGACGTGCTAGCATTTTCTTAGTAATGAGTTCAATAGGGTTAATACAGCACTTGGAATAAGGTTAACGTAGCATTATATTGAAATGATGAAGATGGTTTGTACATCAGATGGGTGGTTCTGGTGTTATTCGTATTCTCTGAAATAGATAGTCTAATTACGAAACTTGTATTATCTATCTAAACAACATCTTCAGTACTAACTTAGCAGTGACATCATAGCTACTAGGTCAGATATCATAGTTTACTTTTTTCTACACACAAAATAAGAAAAGTAACTAGGTCACTGTAGGTTTAATGCTTATTATACTAATTTAAACGTTCTGAGTAAACCGTACATATAGACGGTTACATTTAGGGATTTTATACTGGCCAATTTAAACGCGACATGTTTGTTAAACAAGTATCTGAAAATGAAAAGCTTCAGACGCTTCGAAAAGTAATTGTTTAGAGTACTCTAGATGTTTGGTAATTGAGAGAGATATTCTCATTTCATTTGTATGGGGGTAGTATATAATACAGCTTTAAATTCATAGAATGCATTGAACACATGGTAGTTTGTAAGAAAACTATTCAGTGTTAATATTATTATAATGTATTCATATTTGTTCATTGTTACCGACGATAGAAGACTGTTTATATATATAGGGGTTCTATAGTACACGCCTCATGTGGTCCGGGGTTCGATCCCCGGCCGACGCACTCCTTTATCTCGTCAAGTCAGTAACAAAACTAGTAAAGAGGATAGGTTGGGCATGAGGCTAGTAACTCCATCCCGTAAAAATAAACACCACTGCTACCGAACCTCTCTCATTCAAACTTGTAAGCTCCCACAATTCGTATTCTTTGATATCCACTATTAGAGATAAACAAACTGATGGGCAAAAACGAAATGTATGAAGCCCAGTTGGATTCATGAATTTCTCTGACCCCTTAAAGGTAGATGATTCTTGGACAAAATGTGACCTAACTACAAGAACTTCACTTTACAAACTAACAGTATGCATTTTCTTATAAATGGGACTTTCATTATGTCATCAAATGCTGGTTTTTTAATTCACTCACTTATCATATCATATAGTATTCCTTACATACATGTTATCAATAACGAATAAGTCAACAAAGAGGTAGCCATCTTGTTATTGACTAACCTAATTGTCTATAGTTTGGTTTGTAAGGGTTAGTTTTGTTTTTACGAGTTGATCATGGATTGATATCATTTAGAGAACCATTGAAAACTAGGAAGTACTGGACAGATGTCACGTGTGATGATGGATGTCCCACCTACGACATTGGTTGGGGTCGCTCTAAATCACGAATTTGTAGAAGTTAGAATTCATGGGCTGGCCATTGAATCGGGTCCCAGTGACTGAATGGTATACGAGTTCTCTGGCCTTGTAACCGGAAGGTCCTGGGTTCAAACCCTGGCAGTGGGCGCGTACTACCGATGATTCCCAAACTAGGATGAAACAGCAGCTGTCCAGTACTCCCTGGTTTTCAATGGTTCTCTAACTGATATCAATCTGTGATTAACTCGTAACCTAATTGTCCCTTTTGTTGTTGACAGTCAGTGAATTATATAGCAATATTTTGCCATTAGTGTAGTTATATTAACATTTATCTGGTGATTAGATTCCTAATCGACTGGTGTATTTGCTAAACAAAACTCATATTTAGTTGTTGAACTTGAAATGTATATATGCTCAATGCTATGATAAAAATTTCTCAGAGAATTACCAACTTGTGTGAATTCATTAAATGTAGTGTTAACATAGAATAAGGGATTTTTTGTAGTTTATATTACTTGTAGGTTGAATCAATGTACTTATATAACCTAGTAATTCAAAAGAAGAAATTGCTTTGAATGATATTCTCTATACGCTGAGTGAAAATCAAGAAAGCAGGCATAGTTATATGATAACATACACTACTGATTAAATATGAGTAGTTAAAGAACAGAACTAGGATGGTTTGAAGTAATTCAGTGCTCTCAATCAGGTAAACTATTGATAAGCTCATTGGTGAACAAACGAAGTGGTTATCCTCTTCTGTTAACATCACTTCGATCTGGTTAGCAAGTACTAATGTTTGATGCAAGCGGCTTCCAACTACTCATATTAGTTAGTAGTATGTCCTATTATGCAGCTTTTCATTTCATTCTATATTAAGTGTATTAAAATAATTGTCCGAAGTTTAAAAATGTATTACCTATCTGATAGATTAATGTTTGTTATCTTTTGTCCGACTTGTCCTTGTTATTGGAGCAAAAGTGCATGACAAAACAAAACAAGATTAAATAGGCTTGTAAATCTTTTAACATACATGAATATGTGTATATGTATATACATTTTTCATGTATTACATAATTTTCTTATTTGTTTATTTTTACTTGTTACTAATATATTTATTTTCAGTTGTACAAGTATCCCGCATACAGACATAGTTCGAGCTTGTCGAACAAATTCTGAAGTGAAATGGGCTAGATCACGTTTGTTAAATCTGTCTAATATGCATAGAAAGTTATTAAAGCAAACTGGTTCCTATGGTTTAATACGTTATTTAACCTCAGCTAGTAAACGTGAACTATGTCAATCATTGAAAATACTCTTACAAAAGTTAACACATCTCACTATTACAGCATGGGTGTTAAATGGTAAAAATCCACCGAAAAAATGTTGTATACTTATTGAATTAGATAAAAAAGCCACTGTATATCATGCATTGAATGAAATTTTATATTCACAAACAGAATTAGCTAAACAAGATTGTCAAATGGACCACAATAATAATGATAATAGTAATAATAATAATAGTAGTAGTAATAATAATAATATCATAGATTATGGTTTACCGGATGCTTCAAATTATTTATTGAAAATATGCTGTTCCCAAGCCTATCTATTCGATCCAAATGAATTACTTATAAATTATGAATATATACAACAATGTATTGAACAATATAAATATCCATGTTTAAGTCCAATATTAATAAAAGATATTAAACAAAGTTTAAATTATTCACTTAATGAATATAATTTAAATCCAATGTGTAAGTTAAGTAATGATGAAGAGAATTGGTTAGTATCGTCTAACTCTTTGATAGATAACTCCAACACCAATAATAATAATAATAATAATAATAATAATAATAATAATTCATCTGATGTATATGAGAATTTTGAACGATTTTTAAAAAACTATGATAAGACTGATATTGATCATTGTAAAGAGGATATTGAGGCTGAGACATCTGATCATTCAGTATCAGTTGACTTCAATGATTACGATGATGTACCAACTGATGATATAATCAGCTTCAATGATATGATGATTAATACATCTAAGAATTCTTCTTTAAAAAATACTGATGATAAATTGAAGAAATCAAACCTTCAGCTAGAAACATCATGTCAACAGCAACAACAACAACAGCAAAGACAAGAACAAGAACAAATTGTATCCCTTTGGGAATTGAATGGATTTTTAAGTATACAAGTTCGTTCAGCACATTTTCTTGTTGAAAATGTTACCAATTCAAATATTTCATCAATATCGAGTACATCACACACATTAGCAACAATGTCATCAGCATCAATGAATCAGTCTAGTTCTAGTTTGAATTCAGTTGTACAACATACGAATATAAACGGTGCAACTGCATTAGATGGAAGTTATGTTGTACGCGTTGGAATATTTCATGGGAGCCAATTTTTAATTGAATGTCAGGTAAGATTGCCATATTTGTTTGAAGTTTGAGGAAGTAAAATATTCTGATTCACTTTTAAGTTGTTGGCATTTTGAAAAAAAACTTTCGTCTTGGGTTAGGGCTCTTAAGTAATAACAAGTATACGAGGAATTGAGGTCAGAATCGTTGTGATGCGAGGCTTTCAATGTTCTTTGTCAGTGTAACTTTTTGATGAAACTACCCGAATACTTGTTATTTTTGGGTAATCTATACGTTAATGGAGAACTACTCCTTTGCATTGTTGCTGCTAAAATCTAGAGAATGGATAGAAAGCCTGCTTCATAGGAAAAGGCAAATACCAAAAAGTGAATAATTTGACCTTGTGTTTGACATCACTTCAATTTGTCTTTTCATTCCATAGAGAGTTAGCTCCATATTTTCTCTTTCTCTTTATGGTAAACATTTCCTTTCTGTTTACTTTATGAGAATCCTAGCAAAGTTATCTTTTTTGAGATCATCTGAAATCTGTGTGTGCATTAACAAGTAAGTCATAACATCACTGTATTTGCTACCTCCTTCTTCTCCCCATTATTATTATTTCCCCAGATTTCTAATAGAACATTGGGCTTTATCAGCAATCTTTTTTAACTGGCTCCACGATTTTGTGTGAGCTTTTACTTCCTCCTCACACGATCTCCTTCATGTCACTCTCGGCCCCTCTCCAAACTCGTCGCCTCCCATTAGGGTTCGACTCTACAGCTTGGCGCGTGATGTCACTCAACGGTCTCCTCGGCGAGTGATCAATCCATCTCTATTTTGTCATGCATAGTTGTGTTGGGCGATAGGTTCCTGATGGGATCATGATTCCTAACTCGAAGTTACTTGTTTGATGGTAGCTTACAGCAAAAGGATAAATGTTTGCTAGTGTGAAGGCAGATTTGTTTATGTGACAAAAGTGACACAGCAATAGCAAAATATAAAACCGTGACGCTGAAAATCTAATTTATAAAAAAGTATTCGAATTTTTTTGTCTTTATTTCACGTTTTCTATATTGCAGTGAAATTATCTGTACCTATTCGCCTTGCAACTTAACTGACGTTTAGGCTATTCAAGATTCTTACAGATGACAGCACCAACACACTTCCTACAAATTATTTTCAGTAGTGCTCACCACAGTTGTGGTGTTAGATAACAGTCACATTGTTACATCAAAATGAGTGACCTACGCAGGGACGAAATGGCTATCTGATGCCAGTCGGTTTGTAAAGAAGTGGCTCATCGGTGTAAGTGGTTTAATTTCAGGCAGTGGGCCCCGGGTTCGAGTCTAGTTCCACCTACTTCAACAGTCATAGTACATGTTTAGTTTGTAGATTGATATATGAAGAATATGTTCCGCTTAATGGAGCTCTAACTAACTACACTATTTGTAACACAAACTACGACTGCAAACTTGAAGTAAGATCACTTTCAAATTGTGAAAAAAAACAGGATTACTTTCATTTGCATATTATGCAGGTAAATTTGAGTGGAATCACAAAAATAATGTAAATAGATTATGATAAGTCTTAAGAAATTCATATATAATGATTGTAAAACTACAATAAAGTCTGAAAAATGTCAGATTTACTTCCCGAGTAGCTGATTAGTAGTAATCGTGTGCATTCAGTGCATACTTTTACTTTGGATTGTTAAGATTCATTGTTTAGTTTGTATAAATAATCCACTTTAGCTATTTTTAACGTCTCACTTTAACGCATAGTTTTTGCAAATTCCTACCAAATATTGATTTTCATAACCCCTCTATATGGTGCTCATAATTAGGATTAATTCAAACTTAGGAATTAGTAGTAGCTTGATTCAACTTGAAACAGTTCATCACGAAGAGGTTACAAGTTTTCCCTCTAAATCTCTATAAGATACTGTAGGTGATGTGACTTTAAATTCATCACAGTAGCATGCACACATTAATCTTTTGTCTCTTATTTTATTCCTTTACATTCAAACTTCAAACTAGAGCTTTGAAGTTTCGGTAGCAATGGCTTTATTTTTACGGGCGGTAAGGTTACTAACTTCATGTCTGACCTTCCCTGTTTGTCGGGATTATAACTCGCTAAAGGAGGTAATGGTTTGCGTCGGCCGAGGATCGAACCCCGACCCATGTGTGTGGTTGGCTAGTGTTTTACCTCTGAACCACCCACGCGCTAATGGCGATTAGCAGTGGAATCCAGGATGTACATTCCGTCCATTTTAAAAATTGTCATCTGTATGTACGTTTATTCAATAGCGAGTGATGGTGTTCCCACTGAGGTCGGAACCGAGTTACCCACAGTCTCAAGTGTCAAAGCACTATCCACTAGACCACTTGGGCTACCATTTTGTCATTATGTTAATCATAATATGACATTTTTATAATCCCTTCTTGTCTCTATGTCACAACTTTCTACTATTTCTGATGGCGTGTTATTTTCCTTACTGTTTTCCTTACTCACCATTATTTTTTATATAATGATTGATACTATGTTGATAATATCTATAATATTTCAAGCATAAATTATGTTTTTAATTTTAGACAACTAAAGAAAAACCTGGAAATTATCTAACATGGCGTGAATGGCTTAATTTTCATGTACTATTGGCTGATATACCTAGTGCTGCTCGTATTTGTGTTGCTCTTATACGCATCAGAAAAATTATTGATAGAAAGAATGTTAAAATTGTAAGCTATACTAAATATCTGAAAGTTCAGACTGATGTTGGGAAGTTTTTTTTATTATTCTTATATTCATAAAAGTGTTTATATCTTTATTTATCTTCCCGTGTATAGACTTGCTCCCAGGAGGTTCCTTATTTTTAGCTGTAGGTAATCAGATTATAGCATTGCTAGGTGACGACACCGATAAGACATTAGGTGTGAATACAAAATATTTGGAATGCGTTTCCTACCTTCTGAATGTATTGGTGGGCATCATTATGAATCAACCTGAGTATTAGGATTGGTGTATTAAATTCTACCACTTGTTCATCTCCCCGCCGATAGTTGCTACCTTGACGTAGTGGTCGGGCTTGCACATCGCAATGACCCAACAAGCTATACTGACTGGAATTAATGTTCTGGTAGGTCCTACCATGTCAGGAAGATTGTTAGGATAGAGAGATTAGACTAAAAGCAGTTTCCGGCAAAGTCGTACTGCTTGGGAACAGGGATGTAACAGCAGTAAGGTGTTTCCCTCAGATGTCCAGCATGCCAGCTATGCTGTCTCTCCACTCTGAAGAGAAGGAGTCAAAAAGGTCGTCTACATCCTGACTTCCCCTGTGGTGGTTCATAACCGGTGGTAAGTTATTAATACGAAACCAATCCAAGAAGTCAGTTCAATACTTGTTCATCTAGCGAGAAAGTTCTTTCAGTAATAGTGCTACGAACACAAGATATTCATTTAGCTGACATAATGTCTGGTTGGTAATTCATGATTGAATGTGCTGTGCAACAGTATGCTCTGTTCTAAGTCATTACCTTAAATGGTAATTAGAATGTATTTAAAGGAAATAAGTACCATTTCAATGCAAATAAATTACAACTTTAGTATTAGAGCTAAAAATATCGATATTTAATTTGTTTTAGAAAGATTTCTTAAAAAACTGGCACATACTTTGTATCTCATTCAGTTGAACTTACACGAAAGTGAATAAACCTCATGGTTGTTCAACTGTTAAACAACTAGACGGCTATAGTGTCACTAATTACTGGTGTAATACATTACACGTGGAAAATCACATTCCAGTTGTTCTGTCATGTTTTTTCTCCTCTGTATGTTGTCTATTTTTTTTCATTTATTTACATTGGTGATTATTTCTTTGTAAACAGGCACACACACTATGCTCTTCATTATTGCTATTTAGAACATTTTTACTTAATTGTCAATTGTGTATTTTGGCATGCTTTCTTCATTATATATATATATATATATATCATTTCTAAAATATTCTATTTTAAATATTCTACTAAAGATCGGCAAGTTTGAACAGAATAGGTTCATTGATGATTCTGCATAACTGCTGAGACATAAAATCTTCCCAAAGTAAACAGGTGCTGAAGTGTAAGGAAATATTAAACCTAGACAACAAATTTAAAGTCATTTGGAGGTTAGTGACTAGCAGTGAAATCCAGGATAACACGCATTTTACCCTATTTGGGACTGGTCACTGGATGTACCTGCATTCCCCAGTGAGTGGTGGTGTTCCCACTGAATCTCGAAACCAGTTCCCATAGCTTCGAACGGCAAAGCATTATCCACTAGACCATTTGGGCTACAAGAGCCACCTCTTCTGTAACCTGTCTTATTAATTATTTAATCCAATTTGAGATTTTCCTGTCGATTAATTGAACCGAAGTGCTCGGTGGAAACGCCATCACTCAATTGAGAATGCAGGAACATTCAGCTGACGAAATGTGCGATATTCTGGATTCGACTGCTAATCACCATCCATCAATTGACTTCAAGTTATATGACCACACATCGTCGAAGCATCTGCACAAGGAGCCGACATGTCAACCTGAGACCGAGCACTTCGGTTCAATCAATGGACGGGAAAATCGAAAATTCGTCCACTTTCAGGAGACTGTAATGTATCCATCAATAAAATCAGTATATCTATGTTTTACAAACATTGACAGTATTTGCGAAAACCGTTGGGGGATGGAATCCGCGAACTAGGCAAGCGTATTAACCATTCAGGAACTGAAACGGCATCCAATGCCAATGGTAGATTTGCAGAATTGGATTTTATCCCATTGACGGAATGGAGTTATGAATGATGAGCACTCTTTAAGTTTTATTAGTTTTCATAACACCAAAAAAAGAATCACTTCACACTTAAGTTTATACTTGGTATGTGCTTCTAATTGATATTGCGCTGTTGGTGACCACTCATACCAATCAGTAGTATATATTGTCATGCTATTTTATTTGCTTTCTTTAATTGTTGTTGTATATGTTACTGAGTAGACTACATATTGTGATTCAAGTATTTTGCATTTCCTAGCGGGAACCGTGGTGGATTTTCACCTCCAAGTGTGTAATTTGCACATGACAAATTTGATTAAATTGATTTTTCATCTTTTGTTAGTAAAACAAGTATACATTTTTATTATATCACTGTTAATATTTACTTTTATTGTCATTATCACTACTACTACTACTACTACCATTACTATAACTATCGTTTATTGGGTTGTTATTTGTATTTTTGATGTCTTCAGTGTGAATATCCATATGGTTGGGCAAATATAAATTTATTTGATCATAATGGATTCATGGTTACCGATATGATTACTTTGAATTTATGGCCACCATCCTTAGTACAAACAGCTGATGAAAGTCTTTATCCTTGTGGTACTGTTTTAGGCAATCCAAATCCTGAATTTACAGTACAAGTAAGTACTACTTTGTTTGTTTATTCTAAATTACGTGTTTATTTTTATAACTTTTCAAATCTTTGTACTTTGAGTATTTTAAGATTGTCTATATATGCACAAAATTTGACACATTAAAAGATATCAGATGCTTGATTCTCCTTCAGCCCCTTCTTCTTGAAATTTGTGATTAGACTAGTACATGATGTTAGCAATCCTTGAGTTATTGATCTGAATAACGTACAGAGGTGTAGTTGGTGTGCTAAGATTGGTAACACTCTTGTCTGGACGATTCAAAATCGACCACCTTCAAATCTCTAGAAAATCATCACTATCCCAAAATTAAATTATTTCCTCTCCTATAAACTTTTGTTGATTGTAGTATCATTAAGTCTTTTTCAATTCTTGAATTTTGTGTGCCTTCTTAGGGTATGATAACTTAAGTAGGATGGTCTTTCGTGTAAAATTCCACATAATTCAAACAATTAGCCAATCTATTGAGTAACTTAATTTTCTAGTAGTGAGTAATATGTTAAAACTTTGCACATTTTGATCACTAGCTTTCATGTAATAGAAGCACCATTGATTGGTCACTAGAGTGCAACTAGTGTCATCTGTTTATGACCTATTGTTGGTGCTGACTGAACTCTGTTAGTATCACTGCTAGCCAATGCCGTCAGCGAATGTTCGTCCTCTTATCCGACCTGAAGGAACCCATTGGTCATGACTTCTTACTAGTAGAACTCCAGGCGAATTCGTCCTATGGTCAGTTACTAGTGGGCATCAGATTAATTTCCGAATGCTAGTTCGTTGGGATTTGGGTAGTTTAATCATGGATTCATATCAGTTAGAGGACCACTGAAAACCAGACAGTACTTAACAGCTGTCTTTCCCTAGTGTCTGACTCTTCATCAGTACACACCCATGACCCCACCCGGGATCAGACCCTGAACCTTCTATATTCTGCGTTGACAATTACCATTGCGATTTGAAGGGAAGCTCTAACTGCTAAGAAATTGTTGTGCTGTGCTTTTACGTTGCTAGTGCAATGTTTTCGCTGACTCAACGTGCATGCTTATATTGGTTGGTGGTGACTATGAAAGTCGTAAATTGGCAGAATTTAGAATTCATCTGTCGTTGGGTTCCGTCTCAGTGGTTGAATAATAAACTAACTCGCCTTATAACTTAGAAGCCCCGAGTTCGATCCATAATAGGGTCACAGCTGGTCCGTTCTGATGAGAAATCCCGAATTAAGACGAAAAACAGATATCTAGTACTTTCTAGTTTTCAATAGTTCTCTAACTGACATCAATTCGTGGTGAAAAATAAAATCAATCAAATCACTGAAAGCTGACACTTGAGGAATGAATTCGCTTGATCAAGTTCCCGACGTGTGGGATCACCAAACCAGGCGACTGATCATCATGGGGAATTTTTGAATTCTTCTAGGTAAATAGTAAAATTAAATTTCTGAGATTTTCAGTAGACATTTTTATATAACAGTAGGCTAAAAAGCAATGATTTTGTAATTTTTAAATATGTACTTTGCTGTTGAGAAAAAAATATCATTAAAGGTCAAAGGTTAATTTCACTTCGAATAAGTGTAGCAAAAAAGCACTGTATGCATATATGACATTGATAAATAAAACTTGAAGTCATACAGGAAAGTGTCATAGAAACTGTAGGAATTTTATAGGTGAAACAGGAATTGCTTCCCACCAAAATGCTGAATTTCATCTAGGTTTATCATTATTTTGATCGTTCAGTTATATCAAACAACCTATACATGACCTTGTCCACTGATTTAACTTGCTTCCAAGTAAATGCTGTGCAATATTTCAACAAAATGAAGGTATACCTCAGCTTATTAATTTACATGTAAATCCTGTATGAAGAGAAAAGTATTTTGGAACTGAATACGCTTAAAAAATTTTGTGCCATATGTTCGCATATTATCTGAAATAAAGCTTTATTATTATCGTTATTTTTATTATTAACTGTTAGACTGTTGAAAATATTCATGCATGCCTACTACGTTAGAATTTAGTCCATGAATGTGACGGGAGTTTTTGAATTATTACTGGAATATTATGTATGAAAATTATTTGACAAGTTGACAATCGGGCAAACTAAAATGCTCAAGGATGAAGGTGTTTAAAACAATTAGTCCCCTTCATGAGTTACCATAGTTTCTGTCCACTCCAGTGTAAAAAGGTGTTAAGTTATAATAAAGGTTTTGTATTTCCCAATGAATGAAAAACAAAACGATATTGTTTTTGCTGATGTTTCGCCATTTAATCCTTCTAATAGCTTTATCTAATAGCTTTATTAAACAGGAATTTACAAAATCTCAGCATATATATAACAAAGAGTTAAGGGGTGAGCATTAAATTATCATTAAATAGCGAAACGTCAGTAGAAACAATATCGTTTTGCTTTTCATTCATTGGGATATACAAAGACCTTTATTATAATGAATATCATATACCCAATGCCCAAATTTTTCCAAACCGTTAAAAGTGAACTTGGTTTGTGTATATATAAAGGTGTTAAGTGTTTATTGAGACGTATTCAACACATGTATATACCTGAGAGATACCACTGAAAAAGAAATGCAAAGACCTCACCGATATATTTTAGGTACTAAATATTTCCCGAAATTTATTAAACTCCCTACCAGTTGAATCAGCTGTTGAAAAGGATGTCTGTATAATTGTATCGTTCAAGGGTGATTACCAAAGTTCGGTCAATGAACAAAGATCAACAGCGACACCCTTCAAAACTGATTCTACAGCTAAGCTGAATTTGTAGAAAAAACGAAATCTGTGTTGTCCTGTAAACCTTCACAACAAGCGTTCGAACGATACCCCACTTTGTTAACCAGTTTACATGTATGTATGACTACACACATACAGGGAGAAGCTATCGCTGTCTACAGGTTAAGGCCACAGAATAAATTCTTAAATAGCTGTAAGAACAAATAAAATAGTGTAATTCAACTGACCCTGGAGAACTACATTATAGAGATGCTTCATAAAGCTTATTTTTAACAGTACCTTGAAATCAATGGAAACGATTGGCGGTCGCAGTCGTAAAAAGGCTTAAACGCGTCCAATAGTGATTTGTTATTCCTTTAAACCTGCATTGGTAATCTAATTTTAAAACCAAGATTTATTTTACGCAGCAATTTTTTCAGTCTTCTTATTTGTGATATTGACCCTTAAACCACTTGACATATATTGATTGAATTTTGACCCTATATATAATCTGTTAAAATTGGGTAAATCTAATGCACACATTAATTTTTCGAAAAGCAGTGAAGTATATTTTCATACTAACGCATATTATGATGATCAAGTGTGGAAATTCGCACCGGATTTATTAGTTTTAGTTCTAGCTAGGTGCTCAATTATTTCAGAACCTCTGACATAGGGTCAGGCTGGAAAAGAGCCAGCGGAGGTCAAACCAAAACATGGCACCAGTCAATGAAATCCACAACAGTTAGTTTAAGCCATGTAGGAAGGTGTAGACTTCCTGGTTGGGGTCCTCGGGACGGTAAAAACCAATGAAAGTTGGAGAAAGTTGGTGATATGGCTCAAAATCGTTCTCAATGGCTGGGACAGATGCATCCACTCCTTGTGACTTATAATGCCCAATTATACTATATTGTTCTTCGTTATTACCATTCCTTTTGTTTCATATCCCTATCTACTGTCTCTATTATGCATTTCTTTTACTTTCTTCTCTTGCTTTGTGTGGTACATGGAGTGTGGCGACTCCAACTGCTGCACATCGGTGCAAAGTTCTATGTCGAAAACAGACAGACAGAGAACCTCTGCGAAACTGGCTGTTACGAGCCCATATGTTTGTCAATATTATTAAACTACTTTCCATAGTGTGAAATTTACATTATCGTTTTTCGCTCTTTTTGTGCTATGACTTATTGTTTCTCTCATCATTTCTGAGAGATTAGTCCTTATTATATTTTAGCTCTATAAATTTTGTTCCTGAATAAATTGATGAATCTATATATTCAGAGTTGTCCCCTGAGGACTTGTCGACAGACAAGTCCTCTACCAATAACAACCAAATCTTCTGTCTGCTTCTCCTTGCTCGAGTGCTATCATACTTTATGATTGTAGTTGTTGTACTTATAGAAAACTGGAGACTACCCACCGTCGACCGTACCAAGTTGTTTAAGGAGGCCTTTTCAAAAAAAAGTGGAAACTAATCCCTATTTATATTACCAATTTTTGGAATGTTTGCAGGAATTTTTTCAATCTGTTTGTGTTACCTGTCTGTTTGCCTCCTTATAGTTGTACACTTAATAGTCTACGAATTAGTAGGGATTTAGTGTTTGCACTGATAAAAACAGTAATATCAGTGTTTCTATTAGGCGGTATTTAACAGACATTTAATATTATAGGTATTGTTTTCTATCAACAATATGATTTTCTTTCATCAACCACCTCTATCTCTTTTATGCAATTTCTTAATTTTTAATTTAATCATTCGTTGGTTGTCATTATTAGCCACACACACACACACACACACACACCAGATCATGGAATCAATTCAGCGTCTGTAAATTAAGATAGTTGTATTAATTTCTTTTTAATATGTATTTTTACTGCCTATAAAACACCATCCGTCGCACAAATTGTCTGGTTAGTAAAATAACATTCATAAATTAACCTAAATAAAAGAAATTCTCATGTATTAAGAGTGTGAATACAATATAAAACAAATTCTGATTGTATTTACCGAAGATTGGCTTCTTAAAGCAATATCGTTTTAGTGTGTAAATAAATATCCTGTCACAGAAACACATGTATGTATATTAGCAAATACAAAAGTCTAATTATAATAATTGTATGCTTAATCAGTTGTTTATTTGTTTCTAAAATTAAGAAAATATAGAATAAGGCGTGTTTAATTTAAAGAGGTTGAATAGTCTGTGAATATGAATTTGCATAGATTTATTTCAATTCCCAGATATTTTCACACTATGCTGAGTTATT